TGAAAATAATGGTTTTGAATCATAGTTAAAGGTGTTGTTAATGATCACGTAACTGTTGCTGTCATTGTTTGATCCGTCGAGAGGCTTTTGCAGCAAAATAGTTTGCAATGGAATTGATGTGCTTCAAAATTATAAACTTTAGTAAAAGCCATGTCCTTAAAAGCCGCTTATTTTGAAACTTCTGTACAGTTATGGATTCCGAGTGCAAAATTTTATCATTACACTCGAAAGTAAGATGGGTGTCAAAAGAGTGAAGTTTAAGATTATTGTTTTTATTAAAAGACGAATTCATTATATTAACAATAAAATTCTAATCTTGCTGCTGTTTTTCAGAATGGTTTATGGCTATCAAAGCTGTACTCTTTTCAGATATGTTTGAGACACTAAACGATCTGAATTTATTATTTGCAAGGAAAACAACAATATATGTATTCCCTTCGAATGATAAAACTGAAGGTTTTATTAAAAAGATCAACATTTAGAAGGATAGGTTAGAAAATGATCCATTCGAAATGTTTCCGACTCTCGACAATTTTACAATTGAAAATAAAAACAATTATGAAACTTTAATTGCAATAATTGTTATTGATTACTTAAGGACACTAAAACACAGTTTTGCAACGCTTTAAATCGAATTTATACTTCAAAAATTTACCTTGGATTAAAGACTATTTTTGATTGGCATTTATGAGATAATCCTCTGCCGCATAAGAGAATTTGTTCAGCTATCGACAGTGGCTCAAACTTGAAACTGGAGCTTCCACAAAAATCCTTGAAAGAATTGGAGCTTGATCAGACCTAAAACTGAATTTTATTTCAATTTATGAAATGGCATAAAAGACTCTTCCACCATTCAGCACCACATACTTACGTGAAATGACTTTCTGAAACATTAAATTCAAATATCGTTCAAGGATAAAAAACGCTGAAAGCGCTTTATCTCCAAAAATACTAAATATTGACCGAGAATAAAATTTTAACGTAGCAAAAAAACAAGCATATCCGTCTCATTAAAATGTGGTTTTCTTTTACTGATTTTATATACTTGAAACAAATCATACCTCTTCATATATACATTAAAAAGCGTTTGGATAGAAGAAAGAGAGAAAGAACATAAGAAATTTGAGCAACCAGTATATTACCAAATGAGAATTAGATGGAAAGTATATTAAAGATAAGAAGTTCGAGGATTTTTGCCCAATACATTTTCAGTGTGAATTAAAAGAAACAAAAATGCTAAAGGAAGAAAAAAGGGAATCTAAATATTTTGTCGAACGTTAAGTTTTCAATACGAAATACTAGAAAAAAGGAAAATGTACTAAGACACAAAGTTTGAGGATCAAACTATTTCGAGAAAAGTGTCTCAAGCAAATTTCACTGGATTACGTTTTAATAGCCGAACTTTCTCAAGGATTAATATTCAGCTTATTGGGATTATTTTGAAGGTTTAGAGAACTAGTACAATAGCCTAACACATTATAATTAATACATTACCCGGATGTGTAGCAAATATGTATCTGTTTTTACTTTCAACCAATTACTGGCTAAGCATATTAGAAACTTCTCCCTCGTGGTTCATAAAACGTTTCAATTAAAAATAGCAATGAAGACAATTAATACATTATATTCAAATTCGTCCTTCAATTATAAAATTAAAATAAGAAAGGAAAACGATGAGAATCGTAAGAATCGATTTTCTATTCGAAGCAAATTCCAAAAATACAATACCATATCATAGCAATATAAACTGACAATAGAGAAGTATATTAGTTGTAGAAGACAAGAGCAGTTAGTTCACTGTCAAATCCTGATTAAGTAGAATTATGGGAAGCTGGATACGGACGTCGGAGTGTGCATAGAGAAAAGCGAGCACAACTGTGTTTGTTATGCATTTTGTATTCAAATGCATTAAAAATATCAGTTTTCTTTTATTTCCAACAAATTTATTACTCATTGTTAACAGAATTTGGGCATACTTGTGTTAGTGTAGCTTGAGTCCTTTTAGTAATAGGGTCGCTTAGTAGTCTGAGACACTGAGCTATTTTATTGAAATATATAATTAGCTCTCAGGACTCCAAGATACAGCGGTTATATGAATGAGTAATCTATTTGCACTAATTCTTAAATTTACTCACATATTACCGTCATTAAAACTTGCAATTAAAAAGATGAGATTACATAAAATGTTATCTAATGTGCTGCTGACATGCATTCACCTTCATCAATTATTTAAGATAATAAAATTTAATAAAATTTAGGCAGTGTATAAATTCTGTGCCCAATGCTTTTATTAAATGTTTACAATTAAAAGAATGCAGTTAAGTCTTTTAAATAAGATTTTCATATTATGAGTAATGTATTAACATTATCTTAGCTGCATTCCTTTAAATGTAAGCATTTTAATCAGCGTATGAAATAAATAAGTGCAATACACGAATTTATTTCCTTTGTATATTGCTAATTGCAATCATTTTACGAGAGTGTTAGATAAGCAAATAACACATTATGTAGATTTTACTTAAAATACATAGCTCCCAGCATGCCAAGGTAAGGCTATTAAGAATCTTTAATCCCTCTGAGTCAATTCGTAAATTAAATTTAGAAAATTCAACTAATTTATTGATTACAAAAGACATTATGATTAAATATACATATTAGTTTTACGGCAAACCTTTAATGTACATGAGCCCAAATAATATTTTATACCTATTTTGACCATAAACATTTAACTGAATTCTTTTAATTGTAAACATTTAACGAGAGTGCATGCTCTAAGTAAATATAGATAAAATTTAAAATGCTTACTTTTATTTGTCAGCACCGAATGAAAGCACTGAGTTTAAATTATAAAAGGCGGCGTGAAGCCCACATTTCATATTTGAATATTGCTCCAAATGATAGTTAGTAGCGATTAGCAGGAAAAGGATCGAGAGGAGAGTGCTGTGTCATACAGTGTGTTGTGGCTTCCTAAAAGGTAAAGTGCTTAGTGAACCTTACCAAAGGGCACGGGTTCGAATCTCGGAGAAGGAATGGATGTAATTTGTCCATCCCTTCTTAGGAGGCAACTTTGGCTCACCTGTTAAAATCCTTTATAATAAAAAAAAACCACCGCTTCCGGCTTTAGTAGTGGCCAACACTTATAAACGGTTAGAGGCCGCCACTGAGAGAGAAAAAAAAAAAAAAAAAAAAAAAAAAAAAAAGAAAGAAAATTTTGTTACAGTGGAGCGTTAAAAACTCTGGGGGCCTTAAGTTCTTTCAGGGTTACCTGAAGTTTGTTTTCTCTGTTTTCACGAAAAACCGTTTATGAGAGGAAACCAGGACTGGGAAGAGGCTTTAATCTAGGCTCGGGCATTGTGGGCTCCGACAGTTAACAGACCTTCTTGTTAAGGATCTTGTCGGCAATGTGTTAAAGCCAGCATTCCGCAGAATATCTAGGCATTTTACATAATTCCGAAAACTGCCGGTAACGTATGAAACTATTTATATTTCTCACAATTCCTAGTCATTCTACAGAATGCTAAACGACAAACCGGCAAAGTATGAAATACATCTTTGATTCATTTCGCAATATCCATACATTTAATAGATTCATACAGAATACAGACATTTAATAAATTTTCATACTTTGTTTTCTTTAATAAGAAAGGCATACATTTTATTTTGTACAACTTTTCTTTACGTATTTTGAATAAAAGCTTTGTAACGGCATTCTTTCAGCATTTTATCAAATTAACATTTATATTTTGAGGAATGCGCGTCATTTAAATAGCAGCCTTATCATGATTTTTTTTCATACTTTGCCGAAATAGCATTTGTCATTCTCTAGAATGCTTAAGAAAAGTGTACAAAATTCTCATATTTCATACTTTGCTAAGCATTCTACCTATATAATGCTTAGATATCCTATAGAATGCCTCAGTTTCTGAGATTACTGGTGATAAGGGGGCCCACCAGCGGCCGAGCGGTAAAGTCGCTGAACACTGGTGGTTCGGTCCGAGGGTTCGAATCCCGCGAACGGGCTGGCAGCATGGGCGTTTTCGTGGTTTTCCCCATGTGTAACGTGTATACGAGCCAATTTCCCTTAGAAAGTCCTCCACGAAAGGCATCCCTCCTCTTAGGCAGATAGGCCTAGTGTGCTTTGCAATAATTAAATACACACACACACCATACTGGTGATAAGGACATATGAAGGCGCCTGTGCGGCAGCATTTTCATGCACTTTCAAGAATACTTAAAAGTAAGTCACCTGCCTGATATAATTTTCAAAAAATAAGTTCGTAAAGTTTGAGTAATAAATATAAAACTTGGTCGTATTTACAGACGGTTCGCTTATTTTTTCCTCTTTCAAAATATTGCTCATGACCATTTAAAATGTTTCAATTGGCTCCGCGCCACTCTGTGCGTTACCTAAAGTTGACTAAACTGTATTCATTAACTGCAAGCATTCATGAAAATGATATGCGTGTAAATAATTCGTTAAATAAATTTCACTTAAAATATGCAACTGGATTGTTTCGTTGTATGTTTTAACGATAGTATTATGCACGTAAGTAATATATTACACAAAAAATTTTTAATTTTATCTAAAATATTTAGTAACATTCTCTTAAATATAAGCACTATAATGAGAGCAAATGAAGATGAATAATTTCACTACATTAGTTTTATTTTCTTTGCGTGTTATTAATTGCAATTACTTGATGACAGTCTTATGCATATAAATAACATGTTACATTTATTTTTCGAAAAGTAATTCGTTGCATTCTTTTAAATTTAAATATTTAAAGGCATTGTGCTTGAAAAAATATTACATAAATTTTGTTCACTTCTTTGTACTCTATTGATTGGAAGAGCTTAATCAGAGTGTATGCAATTAAAAATACACTGCAGATTGCAGAGAGCTTACTTAAAATTCATACTTACTCTTTGTAAATATAAGCATGACAATGCATGAAAGTAAACAACACAATACTTGAAATGCTGAATTATTAATATTTCAGGAAGTATCTTGTTCTGGCATCTAATATAGTCCGTCCTGGTCAGGTGTATCGGGTGTGTGTGTCTGTGCTGTCAAATAGCGATCCATTCCACGTGCGTGCCTCTCTTCACAGGGATGGAGAACAAGTTGTGGCAGCATCCGAGAAAGTTGACCCACAGCGCGTGACAACATTGCTTATGCAGGTAAGCTTCATCATATTTTTTATGTTTGGATTCTGTAATGTATTTGTTCTTTTTATTTAGCAACCTATTTTGTAGGAAAATTTTTAAATGAAAATTTTAGATAATCTTAATCAAAATGCCCCAGAAAATAACAATCTATAACATCCCACGCAATGATCAAGCATATCCAATCATGATCTTTAACAGTATTTTCGAGAACGAAGAAAATAAAGCTAGGCAATGGTTTAAATCTATAGTTTCATTTCGTATACTGGAATGTATTTGAATGCTTATCTTCTTCCCAAAGCATAAATATCTGTTTAGGAAACATTAAATCCTATGACCTGAAAAATTAAGATCTGCGAGGGCTCTTATAATTAATCCCAAAATGTTTCATTTTTGTTGCTAAAGATTTAAATACGCTTTTGTGTAATTGTGTGCTCCCATTTATAACTTGTCTCACGTATAATTTAAACGATGCCTTAATTTATTAAGTGTTAGTTATCTTATTTCAAGTGTGCTATCAATGGGGTGTTTATGTAGATCATTATATTTTCTGCGTGAAATAAAGACATCCGACACATGATTAAAAAATAAAGTCTTTAATAAATGTCTTTTGTAATACAACAGTCAGAGCAGTCGTTTGTAGAGCAAGAGTTGCTAAGTTTGATACCTAATCAAAATATTCTTTACTGAAGATTAAAAATTTTTATTAGTCCGTTTAATTATTACATCTAGTAGACTGCGTGCTATTTGGTATACCGTATTGTTATTACGTACACTGCGTTTGTAGCCAATAAGTTTTTATTCTATTAATTAATCACCAGAATTTTTATGCGTCCAACCGGTAGCAAAAGAAATTAAGGCCGTGAAATGCTCTGTGTTCGCCCCAATTACTATTCCAAGCGGTGAAACAGGCTGGCTGTACGAAGGTTTTATAGCTTTCCTCATGTGTAACATGAATATCGATCTGTTTCTGTACAGAAGTTATTCATGAAGATATCCTTCAATGTAGGGCTATAATCCTCTCGTGTTTTGCCACAACTGTTAATCCATTTATAATCTATAACAATTAATAAATCCGCTTTAAGCGAGAACATGAATACTCGACAAATTATCAGCTGTTTTGCGTACATTAATTCCTAGTTTTTATACTTAAAAGGTTTTTCTTACTAGATTAAACTTTGCAAAAACAAGGGGGGAAAAACAACAAAATGCTCATTGTTCGAAGGTGTTAAATCTTTTTGCAGTTCTTTAATCCCAGACAAAAAAGGAGGTAATCCTTATTGGTGGAAGAAGTTCCCTTGTCATATAATGATCTAGATTTACTGACAAGTATGTATACAGGTGTGTGCTTTTGAAGGATAGAGATTCTTTATTCCTATTTGGTAATAACTACGAGGGAAAATTTCTTTTTCACAAAAAGTATAAGTCGTTGGTTGAAAAAGTAGTTAAGTGAAACACGTAAAGAGTTACAGTGCATCAGACATTCAAAGACTGAATAGCATGACAAAATAGCTGAGTGAAACACGTGAAGTCTTCTACTATATCAGACATCAATAGCTTAAATAGCGTAATACGCCAATACAGAAGATTTATGGTATTTTCGTGTAGAGTCTCTGGAAAAAACGAACCTCAACGAGAGCTGTAAATATATTCTATTTTGTTTAACGTTAAAAGTAATTTTCCGTCTGTATTATTAGACATCATCTTCAGCCAAATGATTATTAGTCCTACTGATCCCTTCAAGCTAGATGCCATACTTTCAAATTATATATCTGACCACTTTCTGCTTTAGCGGGACGTGTTATTACTGAAATATTTTGATCAGTAACAAGATTCAAGGGAATTAGCAAGAGGACAAAACTCGTTTCAGGGTTGATAGAGGAAGTTATATAATTAGCCGAATTTTTATGTTCATGCAAAAAACATTATCATAAAGTGTTCTTGCAAATATGCACGACGTATTCAACTTTCGTACTCCAAGTATTCAGCTTTCGTATTTCGCCCGACGCATTCAACTTTCGTGTTTTGCACGACGTATTCAACCTTAACGTATTCAACTTTCATTATATTTTCTCTTCATTTTCCACTTGTCTTCGAAAGTATGAAAATCTACTGTGATTTCTAGGTATGTCGTGCATGACAGATTTGTGTTATTAATTCATAAAATATCATGCAATATGCTCAAAATAAAATACTACTAATTTTTTTAAAGAAATGAAATCTGCATTTTATCAAAAGTACACAGCCAAATGATGATAATAAATTTTTGAAATGTTACTTTTTTCATTTGGATACTGATTAATGAAAAATTTTAACCAATTTACTTTCTTATCTCATACTTTGGAAATTCAATTTCTAGCAAAAAAATGGATAATTATGTTCGTAGGATTTTGTGTTAATTAACCACTTATTATAGTTTGAACTGAACTAGAATTTCTTTCCATAGCTCTTACCAGCATGTAAATTAGTTGCTGTGTATTTAAGTCGAGGGTTTGAATGTTTTAGAATTAGAGCATCTGGCAGCCTCGCGTAGCGCTGTCTTCAGTTATGCCAAACTTCTATTCTAGTGTTAGCCATTTTGCTAACCGACTTTTGAATACGGGCCATTAATTACTTGGGCTGGATTAAGTTGACTATTTTGTGTGTAGTGTTAGATTACTTAATCTAAATTTGAATTTTTCCTCTTAGCCTTTTTTAATACCTGCGGAGTTATTTTCTGCACCACAAGTGGTGCCATCTGTTGATTCCATAAATTAAATAAAAAGATTATTTAACCTTTATAAGAATTTGTGATTATATTTCAGACTAAAGCGATAACTCGTTTGTCAGTCTAGTAGGCGCCATTAAGTTTCTGTACAGTACTCTACACTTTACGCAATCAACGAAAGAAATATGGATATACACAGTTGTGCTAAGATTGGGCGAATGAGGCACTTGCTTGAACTAAAAAGAAGAGAGGTGTCCGAAATTCAAATATATGTAATTAGATAGCAATGTCACAGCAATAAAACATTTCTCAAAGGCCCGAAATCCTGAGCTTTGTCTCAGATGCTAAAAATTTATCGATTCGACTCTGGTTCTGTGCAGATTAGTTTAGGAAATTCTCGATTGCGCTTTTTAAGTAATTAAAAAGAATGTCTTTCTTTAATAACTGATAAAATCATTTAAATTTAGCATTAATTTCAGTAATAAAAGCTGGATATAATTATAAAAGGTTTGGAGGGATATTTCTTTTCTGGTTAGTAACATACATGAGGACAGGGGATTGAAATTTAGTTTGATATCTATCTCTTCACATGCGCAGAGTGCCCCGTAAATCCAGCATAATGTGGAGTTTTATGGACTTTACTGAAATCCCCCCCCCTTATTTGTAATATACATATCCAATAATCCCCCTTACAACACACAGATGGTGAAATCAGTCAGGCGACAAGAGTAATTGATGACTTCTTCCAAGTACTGAAGGTCAGTATCTTCTTGGCGAAACCAATAAGTAACTTTACAAGTGACACTTTATCATACGTGATGTTGTGAGTGTTGTCAGATCTCGGTTTCCGATGAGATCTTTTAACAGTCTCTGGGCGATTTATTTAATGTCTTAGAGCTCGGCGATAATAGTCACATCTTTTGGACATTTTGTGATGCTTTTAAAATTGTTGGAAGTTCAGAAGTATGTTTAGCTCCGAAAATCTGTACTTTTGAATTCGTTGTAATAATACATCATTTTAATGGTTATTTTGTTCTTTCAGTTTAACTCTCTTACTGTATACGAAAAATAACGGAAAGTATTCAGAAGCTAAACTGCACATTTTCCTATATACTCGGTTACCATTTTACACTATAGGTATGTTCTAGTAACAAGAAATGGTAAAAAGAACAAGATTTAGTTACCCGTATAGGATTAAATAAAAATGATTAATCTTGTTATTTGAAAAAGAAACACTTCCTGATTAAAACATTCGCGAGGAAAACAGTGCTTTTCTTCTGTGTAATATACTTAAACCTTTCTGAGAATTGTAGAATTTCCACATAAAGTGATCGCTTTAAGGCCTTCATAGGTATATACAATTTGAAGACGTTTTTTGGAGACCGGGGACTCTTAAACGTTTTTTACAGTTGATCATTTCAAGAATTCCTCAACTTTTTATAGATTAAATTGTTGAATTATTAAAAATTTTTGGATATCAGGAAATTGAAGAAATCCGCCCTGCCCTTCCCTGGATCCTGAATGCGGACCTCCTGAATGCGCGTCGAGTGTGCTTCTAGTTACACCCGTAGAGACATTAGGATTTTTTAGAAGCAAGAGAGATTGAAAAATATGGTGCCTCCTTCGCAGGGAATCGAACCACGGACCTCTGGAATATCGGCCCAGCGTGCAGAACCACGACACCACGAAGGTACGCTAGGAAAGCGGGTTAATAACCTTATATACTCCCCTTTTTAAAGGGCGACTGGTTTTTTTAAGGGACCCAATCGCCAAATCCTGGGTGTGGAGAATCATCATCCAACACCCTTTAAGTTTGGGCGCCACTGTAGAGACATTAGGTATTTTTGGCGAGCAAGATGAAAAACTAGCAACCGCCTTCGCCGGGAATCAAACCACGGACCCCTGGAATACCGGCCCAGCGTGCAGAACCATTACACTGCGAAGGCACGCTAGGAAAATGGGGGAAATACCTTATATAATCCCCCTTTAAAGGGCGACTGGGGTTTTTAGGGGACCCAATCGCCAAATCCTGGATGTGGAGAATCCTCATCCAACATCCTTTTAGTTCGGGCGCCACTGTAGAGATATTAGGTATTTTTTGCAAGTAGTTAAGTTGAAAAATATGCAACGCCTTCGCCGGGAATCGAAACGCGGTCCTCTGGAATACCAGCCCAGTGTGCAGAACCACTATACCACGAAGGCACGCTAGAAAGACGGGAGAAATACCTTATACATCACGAAGGCATACAAAGAAGTGGGAGAAAATACCTTATAAAATAACGATTTTATAAATCACACATCTCTAAAT